TGTTAGTAAAATTAAAAACTTTTATATGTAAGGAAAAATATATATTTTACTAATTATAATTAGTAAAAAATTTAAGCGTTGCATTATTTTTGATTGTCACTGTATATATTTTAGTATTTAAAAATAAAAAATAATATATTTAATAAAAAAATCTTAATAATATCTCTTATAAACTTGAATAAAAAATTTTAATATAATAATTATATATTATTTTTAAGCAAGCTTTTTAATAGAATTATAAAGAATTTTTAAAAAAATTTTTTGATATAATTTTTATTATATAATAAAGAAAAATATAATTAAAATTAATATTTTACAGAACTTTTTTATATATAAAATATATATAAAATTTTTCTAAAAAATATTCTATATTAATTTTTTTAATCTAAAAAATAATTTAAAAAAATAATATTAATATTCTTTAATAAATAATCTTGAGTAAACTTTTTTATAGATATTAATTTTCATATAAATTTAATTAGTTATTATTGTGTAATTACTTTTTAATTCTGTTTAATAATTTTTCAAATCACTATATAATAAGAAATATATTTACTAATTATAATTGATAAAATATTTTTTAATTATAACTATATAAAAGCAAGAAATAAATAATAAATTTTTAGTAAGATTAATTATAATATGTCTAAAAAATAAATAATATTATTAATATTATAATAAAATATATTAAATAATAAATTATTTATATTAAAAATTTTTATAACTAAAATATATATATTAATATTAAATAAATTCTAATATAAATAAAACAAACCATTGTAATTTATGGTTATAATCATTATATTTTGATATTTTGTCATTAGTATAATAATGTGTATTAATCAAAAATTTGATTTAACTATAAATTATAGTATTTTTGGAATACAATACTATTTTTCATTAAGCTTTTTAATAATTAGTGATATATGACAATATTTTAGGAAATTTTATGAAACAATAAGAATTTGTGGATATAGGATAGCATATGCGTTTGTTTCTAATATTTTCTTCAAAAAATGCAAATTGAATAATATTGTTGTTCATTTGATTTTCTAGTTTTGAACTTTCATGTTTACATCAAATTCTTTAGGTGATTTATTAAGAAAATAAATAAAATAATAAATAAAAAACATAAACGAAGTACCGTACATTATAATAATACAATCATTAAAGACCAAATAAATCTTATTATCAAATCTAATCAACAACAGTAGTATTATAAAGTCGATGACCAGTATCAGTCGCACCAACTCCTTTATATTTGTTCATGGATGTTCTTAACGCATAAAATAAGACCTCAGGATACTCTAATGGTAATTTTCGGGCCGTGACATCTTGTATTACGCCAGTAATAACAATGATCTTTCCACTAAATCGATGAATTCGAATTAAATAATTCAGGATATCTCGCATAGTATTTCCCTCATTAATTACAAAATCTACAACGAATATTCTCTCTAGGTGACCCATGTACTTATCCAAATCACTGTTTTCTTTATAGTGAATGAATGATACATTCGGCATAAATTTCCAAACACCCTTGGCCATGTGTTCACCTGCGCGCATCATTGCCACGATTCCGGTTGCTACCTCGTTTTCTAACGCGAATCCGTTTGTCACAGAATGACCTTGCACATGATCTATTGATACAGAGATAATTTTGAGGTCTTCCACAACTTTACTAGCCATGAAATATCCGATATTTTCGTGTATATTACAAAGCTCAAGGCCGCAGATTTCTTTGCGTCGCGAAGCAGTTGCAATAAGACTTGATGCGTGCGAAAAAGTATACTCGGAAATATTTGCCGGGTAAATTAGATTAAATAGGATAGATTCGAGTGAGATGGCGGGAATTTCGTCGTTTTCATCATACAGTCCATTCGTTATTTTTGGGAATGAAATCTTTTTCAGCTTTTTCTTTAAGTACGAGTATTTCTGTTCATTGAGTCTCTTTCTTAGAGCTTTGTTATTAGTATAATCCACAACCAAAAAACTTTCATCTGCTGATGCTAACATTTCTAAATCAACTTCACTATCTCCGAATGCCATTATCTTAGAATCTGGATAAAGGTCCTTCAATATTTCTACACATAGTGCTTTAGATTTAACATCCATTATATATTCTTCGCCACTTGGAGATAGATTACCTCCAAGTAAAGGAATTTTATTGCCAAAGTGGCGCTCAAGTAAAGTTTGCCAAACATTTACTATACCCGAAAGAATAACAATTGGGACTACGCAGCTCGAAGGTGAGGCAAGAACAGATTTGAGAAAACCGATAAACTCAGGATGCAATTCTGTCTCTTCGACAACTTTTTTGCAAAGGTACTTATATAAACGGTCATCTAAGCTGGAATACTTGCAAGCGGCTTGCAAGAATGCGGAATAAGTATGTCCATGTTTCCTAAAGTTTTCTCTAAAGTCATCGACATTGGCGTTCGTGGATGCATGGTACTTTTCCCAAAATAATATTCCCGTATCATTCTTACTAAGCGTCCGATCTGCATCAAGTAATAAAAATACTTTTGGTTTTATATTTAAATTAGAGGTCAACTTCTTGATTGCCTCCTTAATGTTGATCTCGTTATTGGTTTCAGTTTGTCTACGAATGTCCCTAATGAGTTTTATTAAAATTTCTAGATTGGCGTTCTTATCAGATAAAGGACAGAATTTATGAAATATTATGCCAGACTCAATGCAGTTTGATACCAGTTCTTTCTTCTCGTAATCTAGCCATTGTTTGATTTGCTCAACTGTCATAAGAGGACGATCTGCTCGTCGTTTTGCATCTTTTTGGAGTCGACAATAAACATCACCTGGTGAAATATCGATGTAAATAATGTCCGTATAATAATTACGATCCGCATCAGTCATGACTGGTTCGAAATATACCTCATTTGAAGGTGATACTTTTGCAAAACTAAAATGACCGGTGACAATAGCGTCGTCGGTAATTTCTCTCAATCGTTTGATGGCCTCTATACGAAGACTTGTTTTACTTTCGGAATCGAGTTTTTTGAATTTCTCAAGGGTAATATTGCGAGTGACAAGTTCCGATCCTTCGTAAACATGTTCAAAAGTTTCTTTTAAGCCATTGAGTACAGTTGTTTTTCCTGCACAGTTGATTCCATAGATGCCAATTCGTTTTTTAGTCATTTTTATTTATGCGCACGTAATTTTGGTATATTGCGTTGAAATAAATGAACAAGAATTTGAGTAGAAAAATTTAAGCTTTCACTTTTTCAGATAAGAAAAAGAAGTTTCATACGAACGATAGAAGATTCAGATAAAAGATGGCATTTGTTCTTATGTGTGGTTTTGCGCCTACATAAATTATGTAGCTAAATCAATGATTGACCTGGTGCTATTCAAATTCGTTGTGTAATAGTATCACAATAACATGCATGTACACGGTGGTGTTGAGAAGAATATAGTAAGAGTAGAAAGTAAGTTCAAGTAACATGTAAGGTTTTCATGGGAATTGCTAGGAAATTTCATGAGAATTGATTAATAATAGTTACATATTTGTTCAAGTTTTGTTTTTCTCTTTCTCTTCAATATCATTGTGCAATGTAGTGAGTATTGTGCAATCAAGCTTGAACATCAATATACAGCATTTGCTAATGATATACCATATACATGTTCATGTATAATCATTCCGAAACTCTAATAATTAGATACTTTAAATAGAGTTCCAAAAAAAAGCAGTTCTTGTTAGCTAAAATGAGAGTCATTGCCTCTGTGCGAGTACATGAGATCAAATTGACATGCAATTTACATGTATTATATTTGTGTGTGTGTAAAATCGATTTATTATTTTATGATGCATTAAAGAAACCTTTTATTTAAAATCCGACTTTATAATAAGTAAATATGTTATGCATACATTTCATTTATACAAATAACTACTAATGAACAATGTTGACAAACTAGAATTCTTTTTAAACAAGCAAAAATATTAACGAGTATGATATTCTAGAAGAAAATTGAATTACGTTATACATGTACACGTTAACAAATGCTTGATGTATAAATGAAATATATGATGTACATGTAGTGTCCAGCTTACTGCTGTTCTGCGCAGTAATTTACTGCAAACCGATCATTTATTATGAACAAATTCCGGCGCTTTGAGACGCGATATCGCGAAATCTAACAGTCCGAATTGGACTGTTGGAGATATAATTGCACCCCTCTTAGGACCATAGTAAAAAATTGCGAAATGTGCATTTAAAGTGGGTGTGCATATACAGTATAGTGCAAAATATATAGAACTCTTATAAGCTGGGACCGGATTATACCGTGCACTTATGTACACCTAGGGGTGCATCTCAAAGTTACCGAATTTTTTTTTATTTTAAATAAAACATTAAGCAAAATTTCCAAAATTTAAATTTTAAAACTCCGTTCTTGATTCACCACGTTGATTATCATGCGCAGATTTTTTAGAGCAAACCAATCAAATTTATGCAAAACAAATCCTAACGAAAAATACAGAAAACAGATGCTTAAACCTTAATTAATCTCTTAAAATCGATTACATGTAAATTAGCAAATGCAGGTGTAAGAATGTTAACCGTTTCATAACACGAACCAAATTAAATTAGAATTTTATGATTTTAAAATCATTTATTTGAGAGAACCAGTTGAAAATTCAGTTCAATGATCCATTTTCATTAAACGAATATTGAAAATATTGCTTCTAAGGGTAAAGTTCAGCAAAACAAAAATATGAGTTTTCATGTTAAATATAAAAATTCAAGATCCTCGCTGTGTGTCCACAGATTAATATTGTAAACCGCGATATCTAGCACCAATACATAAACATATTTTGCGATCTTGAAAAAACAATTCAATTATCTATTCGATATATAATTATTTTTGTTTTTTCTTAAATACAATATACAAATCTCCTTTCTATATTCATCCTGTCATAAACCAAATTTTGATGCAAAGGGTCGCACGATTTCTGTACAATTTATTGTAATTGAATCAGCTTTAGATATGCTTGCAATATCATTATTTTATCAAAATTCTTAACGAAAGCATAACTAAAGGAATTCAATGCAAGTTTTAAAGTCCCTGTCATAAATTATTATATTTTTGCTTCTGAAGAATAATTATAAAAACAAATTTCCCATTTTAATTAAAAAACAAAACTAAGTTTGATATACAGTCGACGCTAATTATACTGAACCTGTTCATACCGAGATCTGGCTATAATGGCCAGAACCGATTTTTTATATAATTAATAAATTTTTATATACCGCATCCGAACTCAACTTTCCAGCCCGTTATGATATGTATAATTTGGATATAACGAACTTTCACGTGTATGTTACGTGAAAATAATGTGATTGTTCATTTAAAATCATCTGGTCGGAGTATTACTCATATTTTTCGAGTGACACTGTGTTATCTAACACGATTGTTTCAGACTTTTGAATGATATTTGACACAGTGCACAAGATGGACTATTTATTATTATTTGGTTTCAGACTTTAAAATGATATCTGATACAGTGGTTTTTCTTTAGATTTATAAGGTGACTATTTATTTAATTCTGTTTTATTTTATTGTACCTTTATCAAACATTTTAATTTACACATTATGTTAACAACAAAAAAATGAGTCCTTCTTACAGCTGCGCAAAAACAAGATATCTGTGAGATCAAAAAAAAAATGAACCAAATATTACCAATATAGAACTTGTCAATTGGTACCATGTCAGAAAGACAACTATAAAAAGAAAAAGAACATTGGTTAGCTATTGAAAATAAAGAATAAGGAAGCATAAAAAAATTTTGTGGATCTAAATGGCCATAACTTGAACAAGCTCTTGGTCTCTGGATAGACAATGCACTTAATAATAATCAAGATATTGATAATCATATTATCAAGACAAAGGCAAAATTATAGCTGAGCATTTTTTTATTAATGATTACCATCAGTCTAATGATTGACTTGCTGGCTTCAAAAAACATCATGAACTTTGTCAATTTACAAAACAAGATGAATTAGCAAGTGCTTCTTCTATGAAATCTATAGAAAATAATTAACTTATCTTGCAATAATTACTTCAATTCTATCAACTTGAAGATATTTAAGATGCTGACAAAACTGGACTTTTTTTGGAAAATAAAGCCTTTCCAAACCTTAGCTCATTCTAAATTAGATAGATACAAAAAGAAAAATCTTGTATATTAATACTTTGTATTACAAATACAATTGAAATCAAAAAAATAAATCTTGTTTTTATACATACTGCCAAGAAACTCCCATCCAATATGAAAGCTTAATTATAATAAACTTCCTGTTTATTATTATTAGAACAAGAAATCTTGAATACAAGTTAGTATTTTTAATAATATTATTCCCAAGCTCAATAATAAGATGAAATAAAAAAATTAAAAAATCTTATTTTTAGATAATAATACATCAATATATATTATTTTAGAAGAGATTCAAGCAAAAATATAGTAGATATCTTGCAAGTTAAATTTCTTTCTTCAAATACTATTCATAATTTTTCAATCTAGAATTATTAATTTATTCAAATATTAATATAAATATCTTTTTATTCAGAATCATATTAAATATATATAATAATATATAAAATAAAATAGTAAAAGAGCTTATTAAATATAATATTTATGATATATTACTTAATATATCTGAAATATAATTCATAATAATATAAAATATAATTAAAAATTATTAGAATTATTAGTAAAAACTGGAATTTTTCATATTGTTATGATATGAATTTTTAGTAAAAATTAGTTAATTATATTTTATTAATCGCTTCATATCACAATATAATTGGATAAATAATTCTTTATATCTTATTGAATATTAGCTTTAGAGAATATTATTTATAGATATTTTTAGAAGATTT